GGCGGCGTGGGGGGGGGGGGGGGGGGGGGGGGGCGGGGGCTGGCTGCCAAGTGCATCCTGTGCTGCTCCGTGCAAGCTGTACCCTGGAGCAGCGCACATTGGTGGAAACCCTAAGGGCGAGTTGGGCACCAGCACGCTCATGGGGCACCCCTGGCACGGGTTTAACACGAAATCAAGGGTTATTGAAAGCTCCAGGCAAACAGCTAGAGGGCAAGATGTGCAAAGGATTCAGCGTTACCATCAAATGAGGTGACCTGTGGTTTATCCTGCACTGAGGAAGAAGAGTGGGGCCTAACGTAGCAGGTGTTGGGGTCCAAGGCAGCTCCTGCCCATATCTGACATGGTAGCATGTAGCCAGGGCAGGGTCCCTCAGAGCCATAATGCTGGTGCTGCCTGGGGCTGGCACAAGGACATGGGGACAGGGCAGGTCCTGTGGCAGCGGTACCCTGGCAGGGAAAGCCAGTGGTGGTTGTTGAGGCAATGTGAATCTCCACGCTGCCACCAAGCAACGTGGCATGGACTGGGCAAGTTGCACCTATGCAGCTGGGCATATCCTCCAGGAGCTTGCTGGATCCCTTTTGGACCCCATTCCACTTCTGGCATCCACAGTGTCCTGGGGCACAGCCTACATGGACTCTGCCTCAACAATGACCCATGAAGCTCCTCCTTGGCTGCCTCATGGATGAAGGGGACTTGCTGCTCCCCTTCCTGGGTCAGGATCTGCATGGGCCACGTGGCACCCTAGCTTCGGTGGCCTGTCCTGGTCCGTGCAGGCTCTTGCCAACCCTGCGTGCCATTTCAGCCTGGCTGGTTGTGCTCTGAGGCTAAGGAGAACTGTGTGCAGCGCTCGAGGGACGTACGTGATGGTTTCTGTATTGTTTTTAACAGTAAAACTTTCACCGCGGTAGTATTAAACCTTTAAAAAGGAAGTTACATAAACCCAAGGATGTTAATGAATAAAAATGTTTGTCAAGAGTGGTGATTAGGGTTAAGAAAAATTCAAACAAACTCCCACCCAGTGGCTTTTCCTAACAGTCCCTGGTGTCTGGCGTCACCTCTTTGGCTGCTGCTTGGCACTGAGAGTTTTCAGGCAGCTCTGCCCAGAGCTGGGGGGGACCGGGTGCCTGCCTTGCACATCCACCCTATGTCGCTTCTCCCCCTGCATTGCCTGAGCCCCCTCGTGCTGTGTGCGGCCTCACCCTCTGCTCCTCCCATGGCATGGAATGTCGGGGTGGACAGCAAGGACGCAGGTGCCTGGGAGGGATGTGGCTGTCCCGCTGCGGCACAGAGGATCAGCTGGGGCAGAACAGGAGCAGGGGAAGGCACCACCAGCATGGGAAGTTTGGAAGCTCCATCTCCAGGTGTCTGGGGCTCCCTCCAGCTCCTGGGCATGTTTCACTGAGCCTTCACCAGCAAAAGGAACATGATGAGCCCTGGCACGCTCACAGCTGCTGCAGGCATCATGTGCCCAGGGGAGGACCCATTCCCTTCCCTCCCCCCTGCATGTCTCTGCCAGAGGGGAGAGTCCTGGGACCCCCCAGGACCCTCCTCATCCCAGGGTGGCAGGGACTTCCAGCAGGACATCGCACCCGATGGTGACGTGAGGGTCAGGGTGGAGGCCTGCTGCCCTGAGCAGGAGAGCGGGGCTCCTGACCTTGGGGCTCATGACCACCACCCATGCTCCCTCCCAAGGGGACCAGCCACTGTCTGCCTGTTCCCCCTCTGTGTTGCTCCCAGTTGTGCCTTTTTTGGAGGCTTACACCAGTAGTTCCTGTCAGCCCTCCCTGGCTGCAGCAGACATGTCTCCTGAGCACCTCGACAAGGTCAGCTACATCAACAGACCCCCATGTTGCCCAAGCGCTGCAGAGCGGGGCTGTAGGAGGGGACTGGCTCCCTTGAAAAGGGTCTGGGGCAGACCCCAGCCCCAAAGCCAGCGGGGAGCAGAACAACCCCATGCTGAGCCTCCATGGACAGGAACCAAACGTGCCCCAGCCCCGGTGCTCCCAAATCCCCCATCCTTCCCCTGCCTGTGTACCCCTTGTAGATGGGCAGCTGTCTCACAGGAGCTGCACGCCACTGGGTTATCAGCATCCCTGGGCTCCCTGTGTCTCCCAGCCTTACAGAGCAAAGGTTTGTTTAATAAAGCTTTAGGAGGCAGAGCTGCAGCAAGATGGTTTAGAAGGAGAGTTATAGGGGAGACAAAACATAAGCTGGGCTCCAGGCTGCACTAGGAACAAAACATCACATATTTTTGGGGAACTACCTGAAAAGGTGATGTGGAGATCAGCCCAGAGATGTAGTATCGTAGCTGGTGAAGCCCTGATGTTAAAGCTTCTCTGGTAACCTCCATCCTCCCCAGTCCTGGGATGCCAGCAGAGTGCTGCCTCGCAGCAGCTCCTCCCTGCACATGCTGGTGCAAGTCTCCCACATGTCTCTGTGCAAATAAAGATGTACCGAGGTCCTAACCTCTCACTTGAAACTTACAAGATTTTGCATCCTCACAAAGTTGGGCATAATCTTTCTGCTTGTTGCAGCCAGCGATGTTTGCAGTCTCAGCCTGTTTTAAGCTTTTGCCAGCTCTCATGCATCTATTTTAGGCTGTGATAAAAAGGGTGGCTCTCACTCCCCTCCCTGTTATTTGTCTTGCTGGTCTTACTTTGGAAGTTCCAACTTCCTGACAAGGGCCACAAACTCTTCAGCAAGTTAATCTGAAAATAATCCCCCAAATTTAAAATCCTCCGGACAGCACTAACATGGGAAACTGGAAGCCCACAGGTAAGGGCCACTATGCCTCAGGGCTGGTACACATCTTCTACCCTTGCAAGGCTCTTCATCGCAGGCCAGTCCTTGGGGCACTTCTTGCCGATGCCTTTGGCTTGCTCTCTTCTGTGCTGTCCCTTGTCCCCCCTGCCTTGCTGGCCCCACAGCGTGACTGCTCAGGGCTGAGCAATCCCAGCATTGCCCAAAAATGGCCCCACTCAGCTCTGCAAAGCTCCACTGCGGTCTCCCAAAAGGCAGTCAAACCACTGTCTTCCAGCTCCTCCCTTCCCATCCAGAGGCAGAACAGCTTTAACTGTGTGAAGCAATAAAATGCTTTAAATACAGTCCTGATGTGACTTTAGGTAATGGCTGCTTTATCTCTGCGAGGCCTAAAGGAGGTGTTTGGCAATGAACTCACCAGAGTTTTGTTCCCCTCCCAGTGACTCCTCTTCACACATCTGTCCACCACCATCACCCCAATATCCAAACCCCTCTACAGATGCATTATGCTGGGTTTTGTAATTTACCTGTGCTCTCCATCCTCTCCAGGCCCACATAAATCTGCTCAAGTCAAGCAGGTGAGTTGTGCCAGCAGCATCCCTGCTGTCACCCTGGGCCCTGATTCACTTCTTGCTGGCTCAGACTTTTGAAGGAGGAGCCCTCAGGCTCTGGTGGGAATTAAAAGGCCCTAGAGACTGGGGGTTATAAACAGGCTGGGCAGAAAAAATTGGTCTCTGTTAGGTAAACATTGGTGGGAAAAAGGCACTTAGAAGTGTTTTGAGAAAAAAACAAAGAACCAAGCACACAGATTGTGTTTGGGCAGCAGGTTGTCTTACAAAGCT